GGAAGCTGATGCAGGCGAAGCCCAGCTGCCCAGGTTGTAACAAGACTGGGAATTAGATCCCAAACCTGAAATGGTGCAAGGCCCAGAGCATTTTTATACTACAGAAAAAGAGAGGAAAGTCTGCTTTTGAAAACTGAATTCAGAAGAGAATCTCCCACTCTTGGTTGACTCAAGTGAGGGCTGCATGTGCTTCTTAAGACATCAGGGGACTCTGGTGGAAATTTGCAGGAATCCTTTCTTTATCATGGCCCACGATGCCACCCAAGGCTAATGGCCAGGGAACGGAGTCGGTGTTCTGAGGCATGAGAGAAGTTCACTATGAGGAGGTGGAGCTGGATGAACAGAAAGTGGCTTGACCTGGCACCTTACTAGGAAAGGGACGTGATACCTCTCATAGGGTTGTAAAGGATCAAGAAGTGGGGCCAGCCGGGTGTGGTGGCTCAAGCCTGTAATCCCAGCACTTTGGGAGGCTGAGGCAGGTGGATCACGAGGTCAAGAGATCCAGACCATCCTGGTCAACAAGGTAAAACCCCGTCTCTACTAAAAATACAAAAAATTAGCTGGGCATGGTGGCGCGTGCCTGTAATCCTGGCTATTCGGGAGGCTGAGGCAGGAGAATTGCCTGAACCCAGGAGGCGGAGGTTGCAGTGAGCCAAGATCGCGCCATTGCACTCCAGCCTGGGTAACAAGAGCGAAACTCCATCTCAAAAAAAAAAAATGAAGTGGGGCCAAGTAGTAACAGATTCTCTCCCTCCCTGATTCCCTCTGTCCCCAAAGGCAGGGGGCACTAGGGTCAGTTTCAGACTCCGAAACATCAGGAAGCTGTTCTGGAAACCTGAAGCTCCCTATTGAACGTGCAGTCTTTCCTCAAGAAACGGAAGAACCAGCACTAGCGAAGTCAGCCCTTCTTCCTAAACAGGTGCTGGCGGCAGAGGGGTGGGCGGCAGGGGGGTGGGTGTGGGGTGGGGTGGGCTGGGGGACTATCATCCTCCTAGCCTGAATCCTGGCCACTGAGGCAGGAACACCCTCCTCATGATCCCGGCCCTCACTCCCTCCCCCACCAGCTGGAGTCTCTCAAGTCCCTGGTGTAGCTCTGAGCACAGCAGCTCTCTGGAAACACGGCCGGTCCCTTCCTTGGCTTGAGGGGCCGCCATGGGACCGCACATTTCATTTTGCACTGATTCCTGTAAAATGCACAGGCAGTCCTGATTATGAGAACTTCTTTCAGCAGCCGGCAAAACCGCTATTGCTGACCTATGGTGGGCAAATGGAAGAGGCTCCCTGGCTCCTCCAGGGCAGAGCAACGTCTTTGTGGCGTTCAGATTTTAGAGCTAAAGAGAGCTTCATCAGCCATGGTGGGGCAGGCCTGTAGTCCCAGCTACTGAGAGGCTGGGGGAGGATCACTTGAATCCAGGAGTTCACGGCCAGACAAGACCTCATCTCTAATTTTTATTAAAGTTAGAGAAGGATCTAGAGACCTTTACTCCAGCTTTTAACTGAGGGCTCCTTTTCTTCTTTCATTTCCCCAGTGAGAAAACTGAGGCCTGGGAAGCAAATTGATTTTCCCGATGTTCGCCTAGACCACCGTGTGTAATGCTGACCTAGTTTGCTACCTTTAAGGTGAAATGTTTATGAAGGGGAAAAAAACTGGGATGAGAGACATCTGGAAAGATGGCAGAGGGCAGGTTTAACCAGATGTCAGCTGCCTAAGCCATCTGTCTTGCCCATACCACCCAACCTCCCATCTGAACCTCAGCTTCTGGGATGTGGGTCCTGCATAAAGGGAGACAGGCAGGTTTTTCATGACAGAGAAATGAAGGTGGCTGGGGTGAGAGGGACTACGATAAGGGGGCAAGGAGGGCAAAACACAAGTAAGGATTCTTTTGTTTTAGAAGCACAATATTTTTGCAAATAAGAGTGAAAATCCTAAGTTCTCGTTTCAATTTTGCCGTCGAAGTTAAGCAAATCTCTTCACCTTCCTGTGTCTGCTTCCTTTCCCGCAAAATGAAGGTTACGGCTCATTTCTGAGGCATGTGGCCAGTGGCACGGGGCTCTAACACTGTGAGATGATTTGCACCCTCCGGCACCTGCACACTTCTGCAGCTAAGCTTCATGATAACACAATCTCCATGTGCTTATTTGTTTGAGTGAAGCCAAAGCCATCTGGGGAAGTGGATTCCCAGCCCTTCCCTGGCTCCAGTGGCACCTGGCACCTCACTGGGAAAGAGGCGTCGTACCTCTCACAGGGTTGTGAAGGATGAGAGGTGGGGCCAAGTAGGAACCGATTCCCCCTCTCCCTGACATCTGATGACCACGGAACAGCAGAACTTAGAGCTGACTTAAATACAGACCTTTGTCTTTGCATTAAGCTATGGATGTTTCCCAAGTAGGTTTTAAAACTCTAAGACAATCACTAGAAATTAAAATGGGCAGGGCTGATAGAGAATGCCTACAGGAGAGGAAATCGAAATCCAGAAAGGTCGGTACCTTCCTCAAGACCACTGCCAGCTAATGCCAAAGCTCCGCCCTGCACACTCCCCACACAGTGCACGCTCCAAGGGAAAGCAGAATGGGTTCCTTCTTTCTTCCTGCTCTGAGGAAAGGGAGGCCATGCCTTCTCACTCCCTCATCACCCTGCCCCAGGAGCTGGAAACCCCAGAGGACACAGTCCACATGCAAAGCAACTGCCTCTCCTCCTTCCAGGCTCCCAGGGGCTATGATACAGGACTTTGGGATGCCCCCCAGCAGCCCCTTCTCTGCAGCACTGGGCACAACCATCCAGTAACCACCGTGCCTCCTAACATCCACACAAGCCCCTGAATCTTACAAGAGCCTTCATGTTTGTCATATTGTTTGATTTCCCACACCTCATACCTGCATCTTTCCACTGCACAGATGAGGCCAAGATCAACAAGACCTATAGCACTTGGTCTAGGCTGCAGCCCACTGAACAGTGGCTGTGTCAGTCCAGTGACTCTCAGGCTGTGAAGTATCTGTGATTTCTACCAAATCTATCAACTTCAACGCAGAAAGTAGGAGAACTACTCCAGCTGAAACCTTGAGGTGATACTCGCTTCAGACATGTGCTAACGCTTCACTTGACAAGAGAAATGTGTAGCCAGAGGCTTTTCCAGCCCCTTGACAAAGTGAGCTAGCTTTTCCAAGGTCACACAGTCCCTTCTCTCACCCAACAGAGCCAGCTGAAGTGGACATTGCCTGATTTGCAGCAGTGGTGGGGAATCTGACTTATAATTTCAGAGTCCTTGACAGAGAATCTGCTTAAGGCTGAGCCTTTGCTGAATGCACAATCTTGCCCTAGCATAACATGTGAAGCCTTGACATGAAGACGTTCCCCCGTCCCCCTCCCACCCGCTGCAGTCCCAGGGGCCAAATCCTTAAAGTCCTACTTATAGCTGGCAAAATAATTCACTACAAGGAGGTTGGGCAGGCAGGGAATAAAATCCTTCACCTTCACCTTAAATGGTGCTGGAATGTGGAAGCATCTCTACCTCTCTAATATCTGTCTCCCTAGCATTGAGTGCTGTGCCAGGCACATGCCCACTCGGCTGACAGGTGAACCTCTCAGGGGCTCTGCTCTTAATGAGACACAGCCTTGGGGCCTGGGGAAGGCCAAGAACATCAAGGCAGAACCACTCCCTACCTCAGCCCTTGATGCTTTCAGAAAAGCATCTCAGTGGAGTGTCCTCAGTGAATAAAAAGAATGCACAGAAATGCTTCCAGTGGACCCCTGGTCTCCAGGAACAGGACTCTGTCAATTCCCTTACTTGTGCTGAACATCCTTCAAATACATGTGTGGGAATGCCAGCTCCAACACTGCACTTACCCTGACACCTTTTCCAACCTCGTTTATCACAGGGCAACGTGGTAGACGGAACAACCTGCCGCCCACCTCACTGGCTTCCAAAGCTGCACATTCTCGGCTGCTGGAATGAGGCAGGGCACCGGCTGGATGCAGAGAGCACTGTGAACAGTGCCCGGGGTCCCACAGGAGCAGTGAGAAATTGAAACCCATTGGAATGTGCTTTGGGTTAGCAGAGATGACCCTGAAACCAGAGTCTGGCAGCAGAAAACTGCAATCTGCAGGGCACTTGAGGCTGTGACAGTGGGACAGAGGAGCAAGCAGGAGGCAATTCATGCTGGAGACTGGCCGGGTGTGCTCCTCCCCTTCCACCAGGGCAGAGAGGATTGCCCAGGGCAGCTGAGAAAAGGAGTCATGCCTGGGATTTCTGTGGTAAGCGAGCCGAGTCGGGGGACTGTAGATCTGAGAGAAGGGGAAGAAGGCATACTGAGTGGCGGAGACGGTGAAGGCCACCAGCAGCCTTCCACACCGATTCCACTGTCATCTGATGGACAGCCAAGACAGGCACTGTTCCTGGCTCTCACTTAGATTGTCTTCAATATTTGGAGCGGCTGCACGAAAGGAGGCCTACCAGGAGCAGACAAAGCCTGCTGCACCTTGCACTGCCCTTTGCCTCCATAATTCTGCTGGAGAGGATTTGAGCCTTCTGTGTTATACTTACTGTAATCCCCAAGAGGAAAAGGGGTCTCTAACTGGTCCTACACAGTTCTCAATCCTGTTTGCCCATTAAAATCACCTGGGGAGTTTCTATAAAATCACAGGAACTTAGGCCTCACTCCAACTAACCGCTCTCTTCATTTAAAAGGCAAACAATCAAAAAAAGCTCTCCAAGGTTAAGAAAATCCGTAGCTGAATCCAATCAAAGCTGAAGCACTCCATGGTGACCAGGTACAGTTTTTCTAACTGAAATGTGGGCAGAGGCCCACTCAGCAAATTCAGGGCGAGGTAGCACAGATAATATGTAAATGTGGCTGTACGGGTATGACTTTATTCTACTGCAGTTTTATGTCCAAAAATATGCAGGGCAGATTTGGTAGTTTGCCAACCCTTGCTCTACAGGAACACAGCTTCTATAGATAGAACTGAGTGACATCGAATGTGTCAGAGAAGAATGACAGTGAAAGACTGATACGGATTTAATGACAAATATTCCATAGTGGGTCCTCAACAGCAGAATGCTGCCCACGGAACCATCATTAAATAAAACAACCTGAAAATAAGGTAATTCTTACGTACACAAGCACACACACGCGACACCTGTGACTTTTAGGGTCATTAACTTATTCACTATTTTAACAAACAGCCGTAAAATAACATTACAGTGAAGAAAAATGTGCACAAACTTCAGAAACACAGTTTAGATTGTCTATGAACACAGGTCCTTAATTTGTATATTTTCACATATGTACAGTCTCTTGATTGTAAGGAGACCACACGGCTCAAGGGCTTGACTTCTCATTTTCTCCTTCCAACTCAGAGCTCAAGATTTCATCAAAACCATTTCGCCTATTTAAACTGCTCCAGGTTTTGCTTAGCAAAGGGCAGCGGCGGAAGCTTTCTCTTGACCAAACTCTCCAGGAAACGAATAATACACGCGCTTCCACCATTGTTAACGGGTTGGTGGAAAGAGTCCTTTAGCGTTTCCAAGGGAGAACCCGCAGTAAACAGGGTTTGCTGAAGAAATATTATTATTCTAAAACTAGATGGAAGAAACAACCTCCTGAATGCATTTAACCTCACTTAATGCAGATAAGTTCCCTGAAGAATTGTAAGAAAAAATGGAATCACATTTTAAATGCACCAGTAGAGTCGGGTGTTGGTAGTTGAATTGTTTTCTTCTGCTAAGAATTTGCTCATAGAAGGGATGTCGACGTAGAGGCTGACTCTCTTATCCATAGAGGCAAACGAAGTCCAGAGCTTCCCACTGCCACTAACCTATTTCACATTAGCTTCACTCTCCACGCCCCGCTGAACCCGTTCTCTAAAGTTGCTGATATGTAGTATATTTGATGCAGACAAGACGGGGCATAAAAATGGTAGCAAAAAAAAACAAGAAAAGAAAAAAGAAAGAGAATAATCAACCGTGAATAATCAAAAGTTGGATGAGATTTCATAGGCACAGACTCGAGAGAACTTAAAACAGCTGGAAGAGGTAGATATACGGGGAAAACACCCACAAGCAATAAGATTACCTACAAATTGGCTCTACCATGTTCAGGTGGGTCTAATATGCTTAGTATTCAGATTACATGTCAGAATTCAAAACAGACACCTGCTTTGCTTACATGACTCCTGACTAAAAGAAAACGAGAATTAGTGTCTTTCAAAACTGTCTATAAGTTTGAAATTCTATTTGCATTTGTGAATGACAATAAATTAAGAGGGCAAGATTTGTTGCATTTATTATACAAGCCCAGAATTATCAATATTTTTAAGTGTTTTTAAACCACAAAAACATGCTTTCCTATAGTCCCCAAAGAGGTTCTTTACTAGAATACAACTGATCAAGTATCAATTACAAGCATCCACAGAAACTTTGCTAAACCTGTAAAAACCATCTCATAGCTTCTCTCGCCCCACTTCAACTGTGTCCAGTAGTTTGTGAAGATGCTTCCATGAAATGTGCAGGGTAACAATCACTAGTGAAGAAAACAATACTGCTTTCCACAACTCTAACTTCTAAAGGCTCACCTAGGGCAGGGATCTTCAGTATAAGTAACTGAAATCTATACGAGTCATCTAACTACAGCCCCTACCAAAAATGGAACATAGCTAGGGTACCCTAACTAGCCGACAAAGACCAGCTTTGTCAGTAAGGACATGTTTGGCCCTTCTAGGCTAGCCTTAAGTTTTTCATCAAGCGTAAGAATTTTCAGTGTCCTTATTTTATTATATAAATCATGACAGGTAAGTCTTCCTAGCAGCTGAGCTGAAGAATGCAAAAGGTCAGGCTACAATGATGCATGCACACTGTCCGCAGCCTCCCTTCAAGACAACCTGCACACTCCAGTTCCCAGGCCTTCCCTAAGACAGGGGTGGTAACACTGATCTAACTCACAGTGATGTGAGAAACAACTAACAATTATTAAAAATCATAAAGCACTTTGCAGATATCAAAGAGCTATTTTGGCATCTATTAACAACCAGAAAACATTCATTGCTTGTGCTATTTGGCAATTTTGCATTTACACCTCTCCCTGACTGGGCTCTCCTGTGTAAAGTGTTGAGATTTCTACTGGGCCTCCACATGCAGGAAAAAGACATTCGCACTTAGATTAGGTCCCTCATCAATATGCATGGCGGTGGGCGTTAGCGGAGGCCACTAACAAGTGCAAAGTGAAGGCGAGACACCCAGGAGTCTCACATCCCAACACTGTGAACACTTTACTTTCCTAGATTTCTCACGTAAAGGCCAGCAAAACTCTGAGCTAGCTGACTTTTTAGCAGGCCACTGGGCAACGGAGTTGATGATCTAAAGTTCACTTGAAACGCCCACATCAAGGTGAGGTCTTAAAAGGAAAGTCACACATAGCTGGGATTTTTCCTTTTCCCTGCACTTAAAAGATCATAGTTGCGACCTGAAAAAAATATTAGGTGTGGCACACACCTGGGATGAAGGGGGGTGGGGGAGAAGGGTCATCCAGGTAAACAACCTTGACCCAGCATAAAGCTAGAGTATTTTCAAGGAAGTAGCAAAGAACCCGGAGCAGAATCAGGATTTCCCACATCTGAGAACCAGTTACAAATGAATTTCTAAACCCCAGACGTGGCCCCTTGAAATGAGAGTGTGGCATTTTTCGGCCCACTTTGCCCTGGATGCCTCAAAATAGCAGCTAACTGTGGCTCAGAGAAAGGAAAAGTACATTACATATCCCTTCCTATGTGACTGACAAGGCTCCCCTCCTTTTTGAGACAACAGCGGATGACTTGTGGGGATCGGGCAAACTCTGGCTTACCACTTGGTGGGAGATTTTGCCCTATAGTCCTTATTTAAACCCTCTCCCCGCAGACTCCCACAGGCCATCGCAGCCTGTCCTAGTCTATTGCCTGTCATCCTGTTCCCACCCCAGCCCAGGAACTGCTCTTCCTGAAGGTCCTCAAAGCGCCTCCTGGTCCTCCAAGCTCTTCGCCCCCTACAGCGTGTATTTAAGGACGTCATCACCCCCAGCGCATCTCCTGAACATTTCTTCCATGAGAGGCAGGTATAGCACCGGGAAAGAACTGTTACTCAACCCTCCCCCCACTTTGGGAAACCCCAAACACCAAAAGGCTCCCCAGTCACTCTCAGATTGTCCCTCCCGCCCCTTCCCCACTTCCTTCCCCTGGGTCAGTCCCAGGACATGCGCCCCCACGGGCTCCCCACCGGGCAGCCTCCCTCGGACCCCGCCCCTAGCACAGGTGCAGCTTCTGGTGCTGCGCCAGGTGCGTCTTGTAGCGGAAGCCTTTGCCGCAGCCCGTGCACTTGTGCGGCTTGTTGCCCGTGTGGATGCGGCGGTGCCGGATCAGGTGCGAGCTCTGGATGAAGCTCTTGCCGCACTCGATGCACGTGTAGGGCTTCTCGCCCGTGTGCGTGCGCTGGTGCTGCGTGAGCGTGGAGAAGTCGCTGAAGCGCTTGTCGCACTGGCCGCAGCGGAAGGGCTTCTCGCCGGTGTGCACGCGCAGGTGGTTCACCAGGTGCGAGTTGCGCCCGAAGCCCTTGCCACACTCGCGGCACACGTAGGGCCGCTCGCCCGAGTGCGTGCGCTTGTGCGTGAACAGGTGCGAGCTGACGCTGAAGGCCTCGCCGCACTCCGAGCACATGTAGGGCTTCTCGCCCGTGTGCACGCGCTGGTGCTTCACCAGGTCCGAGCGCCAGCTGAAGCGCTTGCCGCACTCGCCGCAGCCGTGCGGCTTCTCGCCCGTGTGGATGCGCTGGTGGTTGGCCAGGTGCGAGCGGCGCACGAAGCCCTTGCCGCACTCCCCGCAGGCGAAGGGCCGCAGCGCCGCCGCCCCCGCCCCGCTGGCTGCCGCGTGCGCGCGCCGGTGGCTGAGCAGGTGCGAGCTGAGGCTGAAGGCCTCGCCGCACTCCGGGCACGGGTAGGGCTTCTCGCCCGTGTGCAGGCGCCGGTGCTTGAGCAGGTCTGCGCGCCAGCTGAAGCTCTTGCCGCAGTCGGCGCACAGGTTGGGCCGCTCGCCCGTGTGCAGCCGCAGGTGGTTGGTCAGGTAGGTGTTGCGGCTGAAGCCCTTGCCACACTCCCCGCAGCGGAAGGGCTTTTCGCGCGGGGGCCGGGCCAGCGCGGGCCCGGCCCCGAAGCCCCCCGCCACCCCCACGCCCATCATGCCCACCATCGCGCCGCACTCGCCCGCCAGGCCGAAGGGCTCCAGGCTGGCGGCGGCTGCGGCCTCCGCCAGGCGGTGAATGCGCTGGTGCTGCAGGAAGGGGGCGCCGGGGCTGAAGCTCTCCCCGCAGTCGGGGCAGATGGTGGGCGCGTCCATGATGCTGGCCACCAGGCTGTCCAGCTCCCCGAGGTCCATGGCCATGGGGTGGTGAAGCCGGTGGAAGCGTCGGTGGGCGGGCTTGTCACCTCGGTGCCGACTCCCCAGGGAGAGGTGCCGCCTCCAGGGAAGTATGGGAGGGGGCGGCTGCTCCTCTTCCTCCTCCAGCCGGTTCTCCCCAGCACTCTCGTCGTCGTCCTCCCGGAGGCTCTGGGATATGCTGTCAGACTCACACAGTCCTGGGAACATCGCCATGTCGGCTACACCAGGTTGGTCATCCTCTTCCCCACGGATAGAAAAGCTTTCCTCCTCACTCAGCTGCCCCCCTGCAACAGAAAAAGGTGGCAGTAGAGGATTACTGTACTTGGCATTCAAAAGGGAAGCACAGAGGAAACCTCAGTAACAAAACCGTGATCCCCTGCCCCAGGCACTCTGGGTCCCTGCCCCTCCAAGGTCCCCTGAGAGTCCAGCCTCTCTCTCACCTGGCTCCTCCAGGGAAAAGGCCTAAAGGAGAGTTCACTCACTGCCCCCTCTGCCCACCATTTCTTCAGGAAGCTGCCTGGGGCCCAGGCCCCACTAGCTCGACTCGAGGCACTGCCTAGCAGAGCCATCTGAAAGGCCTGAGTGCCTGCGCTCGGTATGGTCAAGTCTGTGCCAGGTGGGACACTCCCTGAGATCTCAGGAAAAAAGGTTTACTCGCTCCAAGAGCTACCAATGCCTTTTAAGATTCTAGTCTCAAAAGACAAGAACAGTCTGCCAACCTGAGAAAGACCACCTGGCCTAACCAGGCCCTGGACTAATTTTTTTTTTTTTTTTTTGAGAAGGAGTCTCACTTTGTCACCCAGGCTGGAGTACAGTGGCATGATCTTGGCTCACTGCAACCTCCACCTCCCGGGTTCAAGCAATTCTCCTGCCTCAGTCTTCAGAGTAGCTGGGATTACAGGCACGCACCACCACGCCCAGCTAATTTTTCTGTTTTTAGTACAGACAGGGTTTCCCTATGTTGGTCAGGCTGGTCTCCATCTCCTGACCTCGTGATCCACGGCCTCAGCCTCCCAAAGTGCTGGGATTACAGGCGTGAGCCACCACACCTGGCCGCCCTGGACTAATTTTTAAAGTACATTTGGTCAGTCCAAAACAGCTTACGTTGGAACAGAACACTGAACTCACCTTCAGGACTTGACTATGGGAGGGGGGAGGGGGTAGGAAATAAAGGAAGAGGTTACAGAGCCCAGGTTAGAGGCTGGTCAGGACACACACCTGTTGGTCTCTGGCTGTTTATCCACAAGTAGAGTGAAGTTTCTGAGATGTGAAAGGCCTCACACGTGCCCTCCTCCACATGCTTGTTTGCACTGCAGAGGAGGGCAGCAGGAGTCTGGGACTGTGTCACAGGCAGAGGAATTTAACCTCTCACAGTCCGGGCCATAAAGTATTTTAGCTCATTTCTGTCCCCAGAGCGTGTGCTGAGCAGGCTAAAGGAATAAATGCCTAAAGACGGAAACAAGGAGGTGGGTGGAGGCCCAGCATTCACTCTTTCAAAGCCAGTAAAAGTAAGGCGTTTGGCAGAGGCCATGGGCACTTCGGGAATTAGCCACATGAACCGAGGGAGGTCACTTAGCACTGAGCTGACTTATCTGCAAAGGGAGATGGGGACGTAGCTGTAAACACCTGGATACTTCCTGTTTGCACAGTACTGTGCTTAGTAAGCACATGCAGCAACTCGGTTAACCCTCCCAATAGCCCTCTAATGCCACCTGGGTAACTGTGCAGTGTCGTTCCAGGGGTTAATGTACAGTGGCATTCTCTGCACTGTAAAGTGCCGCGTCAGTGTGTGAGCCTCTTCACTGTGCTTAAAAACCCAAACATGCCAGCCCCTCTCATTTTAGCAGACACATCGCTTGACTCCTTCTGAGAGAGAATAATGCACTCCTTAAATTAGAGGGAAAAATCAAGCCCTTTCCTTTACTGTCATAGAATATGGCTGTGCAGGTTGGTCAGTCAATAGGCCCTGAAATGCAGATTAATTCCTTTAGAATGTATACTATTTAAAACGCCATGTTTCCAGTAACTCACCCCAGACTGGGCTGAAGAAAAGGACGCTCCTCTAGCCAACACTAGAAAGGCAAGTGAGTACAGAATCCCGCCCAATGGTCCCCTTTAGGGAGCTCCCTTAGGGAGGATGCTGCCCTGGTTATGATTCTGGAGGAGCTTAGGAGTGAGTGCGAACGAGGCAACCTGCAGAGAGCCCCAGCTTCTCCTCACCTGTGCAGGTGTCATGCCCTGCTTCCCCGTGCCTTGCGTCCTGTGGGTCGGGGGCCGTCTCCAGCTCCAGGTGGCCTTCTCTCGTGTGTGTGTCCTGTGGATTATAGCCCATTTCTCTCTCTTCTGGGTCCCCTTCCATGTCCTCAGAGTCTTCAAAATCGGAACCCATCCCTTTGTCTTCTGAGTCCTGGTGTGCACAGACACCCTGCTTTTCTTCTTGTTTCATCCAGGAAGAAAAGGGCAATGGAGGTGACCAGGAATCCCTGCTCCAGAAAAACACAAAGGTCATGTCAGTCTAGCCTTAATTTCCAAGTCTAATAAAATATACAGAGTTCCAAGCCCCAGGTGGCAAAACTCCACTCCACTCTACATTTTAAGGTAAACGAGTGAGTGCCAAGGAGGGTGGACTGGGTGGCAGAAGAACAGTGACAGCCCCCCTGAGACCACAAGCCAGCTCTCACTGGACCAAATCTTGATCTTCTGGCTTTGATGCGGATGTCTGTTAGTGTGGTTTTAGTTTACCTGTGGGGTAGCTATGCCCGTTTTTACCAGCTGAGAAAACTCAAACTCGAAGAGGCCCCTAATCCAGGGCTACGTAACTTATAAGTAGTAGAGAGGGGATGAAGCAACTGTGCTGCCTCAAACTTCCATGCCTCTCAGACTCTTACTAAGCTTCCTCTCCTCCGGGCCGCAGCAACTTTGCAAGTATTTTGGCTGATCGTGCAAGTATTTTGGCTAATCGTGCAAGTATTTTGGCTAATTTAAGGAGCCAGAGGAAAAGTACATCGAGACACAAGAATAACAGAAGCATCAAGGGTAGTAACTTCGTGTCTAAGACCATGTCATCAATGGCACGATCAACTGGGCTTTGTAGTAAGGATCTGCACTGCAGGAAGGAATGAGCCAAGATGATTCAAGTAGATCTGGTGGGGCCAGGAAGAGCTGCAGGGGCTCCTCTATATTAGAAACCATCTCTATCATATTAATTACATATTTTACAGTATCTGAATTATAGAGATGTTCCCTTAGCAGGAACATACATCAGAGATAATTGGTAACCCCTCTACAGAAAAGGCCAACGTGTGAATCATAGGGGGAAAATGACATCAGATCCCTTAACCTTTTGTAGATGTCAGGATAACATTTCAAATTTAAAGGGCCCCCTGCCAAGACTGAGCAGCTGAGCCAAAAATAATTATTTCTGCCATCCATCACTCCTACAGCTTAGCTCCAGGCAGCCAAACAGGTTTCTGGGTCGAAGATCTTGGCCTATGACTTTGAAGAGACCAGCTCTCTGCCTCAGGAGTCCCCAAACGGCAAGAACATGGCTGAGCAAGGTGCCCCTTCCTTGGCTGGGAGCTCTTCTGCCTCTGTGGAGGCCTTCTCTGAGGCCACCCCAGTTCTACAGAGCCTTTGGAATCGTAGGCTGGAGTTCCACCCAGCGGAAGTTGGAAATTTCAGCTGGGTCAGCCTCACTGTAGAGAGCCCAAGGCAAGTCAATTAACCTCTCATTGTTCCAGTGTCCTCGTGAGTGGAAGAAGGGTAATGCTACTTAACCCTTCTCACAGGGAGGGTGTCCGAAGGAAACTAATGAAAAAGCACTTTGGAAAATACTGCGGAATAATTGATGCTTTGAGTTTTCTAAGTGTGTGATACACACGTTTCCTCTTTTTAAGTCCTGGTGCCATCCCCTTGGTAATTCTGGCAGACACATCCATCACCTGACTCTGAGAAATGATAATGCACTCCCTAAATTAGAGGGAAAATCAAGTGCTTTCCTTTAATGTCTTAGAATATGGCTGTATCTGAGGTTGCTCAGTCAACAGGTCCTGAAATGCAGATGAATTTCCTTTAGAATGTATACTGTTTAAAACACCAGGTTTCCAACATTTGGGGATTTCTTGTCTAAGATGGGGGGAGAAAAATCTCATGAAAGCTATAAACCTTCTAAGAGGTAGACTCCGTGACTACTGACGCCAAGTCACTTCTGCCCACCACTCTTTTGCCTCTTTGGACAAGTACATCCCTTGAGTCTGCAAACATAACACACATGAAAGTGGACAGGCAAGAGCAGGGTCATCAAACATGACATATTGATTTGCTAATGGTGGAAAACAGCACAGGCGCTGGTGGGACGTTAACAGGGGACTAATCAATGGTTTCTACCAATGTGAGACCAGCAGGAGGATTCTGTGTCAATAGGGTCATGACATCGGAAATAAGCATGTCATCGGAAACTCAAAATGGCAAGGGACAGTGCCCAGCATGGCATAAAAGGGACCACGGCGTTCCAACATGAACGACAGAATTTAGGCGTCCAACCTGGGAAACAGGAAGCGGGGCGGCTTAGGGGGCACCTCAGACACAGAAATAGTGGAACATTTTGATTTGTGATTTATTGGGAACCAAGATACCAGATACTAAATGCAGAAACATGGTTTTTCTAGATGTAAAGGCAGGGAGAGGGGAAAGCCAGAGGGAGTTCCCTCTTAGGGCTGGCGTACGAAAAGTTCACAGTGCTGCCTCAGAGTTAAGAGTTCTGAGATCCATAGGGAGGACTTCCTGATCCTCATTTTCATTTAAACTGGGGAAGCAGGGATTAGGTGTGCTCTGAAAAGGGCTTGAAGCTCTTGTCACCCGGATACCATTCATGGCCCAATGGCTGCTCATATCTGTTTAAAAATGTGTTATGTTAGCGTAAAACTGGAAATCTGAATGCCCAGTAACAGGAATTCAGTTCCATTCACACCAGCACGTCATGGGGTTTTCGGCAGTTGTCAGGTAATGAATGAGGTTATTTAGAGGTTAGGAAAGGTAACAACAATACAATTATACGAAAAGCAGCTGGTTGAAAAATATTTCATTTTGACTTAATATATGCATACTTACATGTATATTACACATGTATACACAGGTCAGAGGAAGACTAGAAGTTTATTAAAATGTTAAACATCTCTTGGTCACTTTGGGGGCTTTGCAGCTATTAACGTATTTGATGTTAACCTAATGAAGTAGGATATTATTTCCAACTTCACAGAGAGGAAACGGGAACAGAAGTGACCGGTCCAAAGCCGTACAAATTATAAACTGCAGAGCAGGGATACATAACCTTGCAGGTCTAGCTCCCACACACACATTCTTCACTAGAAGCTCGTATAGAGTTTGGGAAGACTTGACCTTTTTTAATCAGAAAACCAACTTTCTTTTCTTAACATGTTAAACCTACAATTACTCTAGAAGTGACAAAAAGGAAGACAAGGGCAGGAGTTGTGATAACCTCAATCTAGAAAACGTAATATTCAAAAACACGAGACACCCTGGTATAAAGTGTCAGATATTCAGGCACATTTTGTTGTATCCCATTCATTCTCAAAAACTGGTGACATGTTTTGTTAGGTAATGCTGGAGCTGGATATCTGACGCACAGCAGGGCAGTGTGATAGCTTCGTGGCCAGACTGACCTGGGTGTGAATCCCCTGCTCTTTGCCAGCCACTTTACCTTGTACAAGTTTCTCAGCCTTGCTGAATCTCAGATTCTGCATCTGTAAGAACCTGCAGGCTGTCTCCGACCTTGCGGAGCTGTTTCTCGAGCCACAGAGATTAATGTTTGTAAAAGCTGCTGGCATGTTAGAGACACAATAAATGATAGTTATAACTATGATGAAACTCAGCCAGCTTCTTAAAAAGAAAATTATACCCTCATTCTAAATTGGGGGTCACTGGTTCACAGCTACGTTCACAGAGAACGGCCTTTGGCAAGTACAACTTCCCCCAGCCTTGCTGCTAAAGGTCCTATTAATGAACAACCCACCATGTGGAGGGACTAGTTGCTTAAGGGAGGAGGGTGGAGGGAGAAAGGTTTACTTCCAAATTCACTTGGTTTTCAGCTGCTGATAGCCCATCCTGTATACAGGTATAGGTCTAAAGCTGAGTAGGGTGTGGGTGCCTGGTTCAGTAAGCCCTGACTTACATCACCTGTAAGGGAGCTCTCCTTCCCCCAGTAAGAAAGAATAGAAGTTGAAGGGGGAAAAGCAACAGAGTGGTGGGCATACAAAACTAATTCTACATCTAGTGGGAATCGCTAAGGGAGACAATTCTGATTTTTGGCCAACACAACCACTATGCTGTGTGACTTCAAGTATTTGCCCCATCCGGGCTTCTGTTCCATGACACGGTTGGGTCGAATGTTCCTGAGTCCTCTTCAGGCTTGTCATAGGACACACAGGTGAGTTGATCCAGGAAGGCTCCATTGTCCTTCCTGTTTCATTCGACACTTCCAGCTCCAGCTTGTTAATCCACACAGCAAACTCGTGATCCCCAAACACTCCACCACCAGCACAAAACCTTTTTCCTGGATATAGATCCCTTCAGGGTGGGGTTGGGCAACTTCAATAAAACTAGCTCAAATCTGGCTTCTAGAACTTGTGATATTTTCATGTCCCTTTGCCCACCCCCATCTCAAAAAAGTAAGGCTTATCACCCTGTCACTAGGCAAATGCTCAAGAGCCTTCTAAACAAACTCAGCCTCACTTGAAAGAAAAATCAGATCACTTTTAAGTCACTGCTACAGAGCAGAGGTAAATGTGATAAAACATCTTAAAAAAAAAAAAAAAAACTCCAGCCTGGGCAACAGAGCAAGATCCCTTCTCTACAAAAATTTAAAAAATAATAACTGGGTGTGGTGGTGTATGTCTTTAGCCCCAGCTACTTGGGAGGCTGAGGCAGGAGGATCACTTGAGCCCAGGAGTTCCAGGCTGCCATGAGCCAAGACTGTCCCCACTGCATTCCTGCCTGAGAAACAGAGCAAGACCCCATCTCAAAAAGGAAGAGAGGGAATGAGGTGGGAAGATGGGGGAGGGTAACTGAAGCCAGTAGCAGACCCAGAATTAGAATTTAAGCCGAGTTTATCGGCACATTCTCCCGATCCCCCACTTTGGGGTTACCTGTAAAAACCGTAACGCTTCAACAAGAGCCCCCACCACTTTGTGGATTTAACCTAACTGCCTACGAAGGGGTTAGGGCAGAGGAATGCACACGTCTCCCCCCTTCCTGGATTGTGCATAGAAACCAATAGTACCAAGTCGCCCAGCCTCTCAGAGATAAGGCAGGGGCGCGGCTGCCGCCTCCCCGGGGCGGACCCCCCCAGCCCGCCCGGATGCGCCTCGGCGTTGCCTTCGCGCCGACCTGGCACCCTGCACCGCAGGGACGGCCGGCTCCAGAGCAGATCGCTCCCGGCCCGCCAGCCCCCCGCCAGCCCCCGGGC